TTATTTGGTTTACACGGACTGTTGATTCCTTGTATCTTTGGATATATTGCTGTGTAGGAAAAAAGAACTAAACTGAACAAAGAAAGGACTGTAATAACGTTCAAGTCTTCTTTGCGACTTTTTTCATCACATGGTTCAATACGACTTTTCGAGGACTGATACATAAGTCTAGATCTTGCCAGTAAAAACGAAAAATGATGATAATCAAAACTGCTTCATGACAGTTGAAACGATAGTGATGAACAGAAGAAATAACGCGCGTCAACTGGAAGTGAACCGAAAAAAGAGGGAGCTTAAACAAAGACGTTTTTTAACAACGCACGTCAACCGGAAGTGAGGGTCTCAATATGCCTTGACATTACCAAATTTGCGCTGCTTTTTATTCTTACAGAGACGGTTTACCCGAAAATTTGAGTGAGAAAACTACTGCCCAAGAATACATTAAGAGTACTCTCGGTTTTCATTCCTGCATCGCTCGAAAACGCCTTTGCTAAAGTTCCCCAATATACTCCCTGACTAAACCTACACCAAATGTTTCATCTCCCTTCTGAAAATCTTATAGATTGGATTAACCGTATAAGTAAATTTCCTAATGTGCCTGGTATAATCCAAATGAAATTGAAGTGGTGTCGACTCAAGCGAAAGAGTTGACTACCATTTGCCAAAACGCCATAGGCCAAACGCATACTTCTGGTAATGTAGATAACGATTTGTTCTTCAATATCGAGATTATTATGAAAATGGCAGATTCAAAGACCCTTTCCTTAAGCTTCCTTATCGAAGTTTAATGAACTAGTAATAGCGTTACAGTTATTTGTTAAAGGGAATAAAAATGCAGTATTGAATGATTTTTTCCCGTTCACAAGATTTTGTACACTCAGTCTTGAAAAGCCAAAAAACTAAAGAACGTTTTACATTATAGACCTTACCTCTTGCACAGCTGTGATAATGTTTGTTCTTTGAAACATCGCAACATCCAGGAAAATTCTTGCTTTGGAAGTTTTCGAGGCGTAAACCATAAAACAAGGACCCTGCTGCATCGTTGTGTCAACAAGAACCATTAACTCGCGCAAACTCATCTCACTCTTGACAATTATTGTCTTGTTTTTAAGTTCTGGGATACATTCTGTGTGCCGCAACAGATTGTGCCGCGAGATTGCGTTCTCGAAAGACTTGACTGAAGAAACGTCATCGAAATCAAATACTCCTATTGCTAATAAAGATCCTTTAGTCTGTTTGCAGTTTCCATCGCAAAGTGTAAAGCTTAAGGTCAGAATTGTTATAACTTGTAACAATGTTATTATTTGGATCCTCATTCCTTTTCCTTTCTGAAAATGATGTAAATACTAATTTCTGATCTCGATGCGTTCATCGAAGTTGAATCCAGCTGGAAGCCTCTACCCAGAGAAAGACGCTAGCGCTCCTAAGAATCACAGATTAAAAACAGAGGTAAGGAAAAGTGGAAAACAGTGTGTTTTTGAATCTTCAGGCTTAGATAATACCAGGACAAGGGTAAATTGCGGGTAACTAAAACCATGGTGTGATACGGGGTGGTACAAACAGAAACCATCTACCTTTTTAAACAAACGAAAATTGACGTAACTAAGTGTATAACAACTGCTTGTTTCACCTAAAAATTCTCTGTACTTGCGGGAAACGCACATTTTGGTAAATTTCAAAAAGGTTCGTGCGGAGACTTGGGTTGGATGAAGAAATAGGTGAGTTCATAACAAAACCACATTTCTGGTGGCACAAAGGAAGGAACAGTTTTAAGTTAATCCATTGTGAACTCATGTTTTTTTAAAACAGATACTGGAAAATATAAAGCATGGAAGAGAAGCATTTATGGAGAGTATGGCTTTCACTGTTAAATGAAGTATTCCTAATTTGTAAAACTAAAGCGAAAACTTGTCTCTGGAAATCTTTCGTGTCTTTATGGTTTTCAGTTGGTGGAGAGAATAAAAACATGCAATGCACCATGCAGGTTTTCATTTCGTCAGGCCCAAGAGACAAGATTTTACAAGGTTTGTTAGCCACAGGCAGCTGTTGGTGGCCTGGGTCTTCAAAGAAAATGTCAACCACTTTGATTTAGACAATCGATGGATAGACTGAGCTGATCGACGAATTCCACCAACCGGATATACTAACGATGATTGTCGCTAACGCCACATGGAGAAATTTATAAATCAAGGCTGAAAAGGCTAAAGAACCACCATGACGACTAACCAAAGAGAACAGCCAAGCTCTGGATTATTTGATATTAATATCATGTAATTTAGTTTTATAATCAACTTGCGCCCTAAAAATCACAATGATTACAATGTACACCCCTATTACCGACGGCACTACTTGGACAAGTAGGTAGACTGGTGGATTAGCTGCACTTTCGGCAAAGCAACCTTCGTCCTATCTAATGGCCTCCAATTAAGGCGAAGGACGACCTCTTGCAACTTCGTCGCTAAAACCTGGCTCCGCGCGCTTTTCTGCTTTTCTTCTGTGAAACTCGTAACATGTCAAGTCTACCGAATAGCAAATATAAAAACCATCTAGGAAGTTAACAGCATTCATAAAACCGCACTGTTCTTTTTCAAAATAAAAACTGCTTTTAATTATCAGCAACTGCCAGGCAATGGGCAAAAACTAGCCTCAGGCGACTAGACCTGAAAACAAATTCGATGGACCTATTTTCATGAAGTTAACCGAAAGGAAAAATAATAAAGAAAACAGCAATACCACACGAAACAAGGCGAACGCAACAACAAATATTAAAGGTGACTTAAACATGAGGCCTTTAGTTTACAAACCCTGCATGCGATTAGCTTCATGTTGTGAGTAAAAACCATTTCTCTCCTTTGAGTTTCGTGGAGATTTCGTTTGCATGTCCATACGATTCAATGGAGTGCTGTTTGTTCAATTCTCAATTCTTCAATTTTTTTTTTCATGTTTGCTGTAAGTGGGGTAAGTCAAGTCAAGTAATGGAAAGGAAAATGAGTACCATAAACTGGGCCTTCCAAAACCTAGCATGATGCTATGTGTTTTTCAGGTGGCTATTACACACGATTGAAAACATTACAATATCTGATTCCCATTCAATTGATTCCGTGGTGGAAACCGAAAATAAGTTATAACTTGGATGAACACAAGTTCTGATGAGATGCTGGATGAAAAAGAAAGACGCTGTACTTACATTACAAACACACTGCCGAAGCCTTGCGTTACCTATTGACAGCGAAAGGAGGATTTCTCCACGCGATAATCAAATCCAAATTGGCAAATGCGCAATGGTATTAATTGCGTCGGCTGAAACATCTTTAAGTTCAAATTTTTAAGTGGCTTCTTCAGTTCAGTTGCGTAAACAATACATAATCGAGAAGTTTCTACCATGGCGAACTTCGGCCATAGCATGTCCACTCTAATTTCAATGAATGTGTAAGAAATTGCCCTGGAGGCAAGCCACGCCACATGTCTCTCTCCGCATGGAACAAACAGATGCTTGCAAACGATCCGTTTTGCTTTTCATGACCGTTAAGACAAGGCTCTTTGGCTGAAATCGCTTGTTATTATGTTCTTGATTTGCCTGAAATAAAATCAAGTCACAGATGCCCAAGACTCTGCCCTTTACTTTATGAAATTATTGCAGCCTTTAAACTAAGCACGTAGAAATTTTAATTTATAAGTGGCCTCCAGGGAGTTAATCCCAGGGAGACAACAGTAGTCTCTTATAGCTAATATCAGATAAGAAATCTACCTTTAAGAATCGTTAGAGAAATAAAATGTTTAAGAAACTGAAAGACAAAACTCTCTTATAAAGGCTTGGACCTTTCTAATATCAACTTGTTGCAAAGGTAAAATAACGATTCCGTTTCTAAATTACAAAGAGATTTTTTAAAAATTAGCATATATGGTCTTCCAACAGCAGGCAATTTGTTATTGAATTTGTATTTAATAGCCACCAGCTGCCACAAGTCGAAAAACAATAAACAGTAGACGACTCATGAATAAAAACGAGCTCAGTTGCACAGAACATCTCAGTTTTGAGGTGCTTCATATTACGACGATTATGAGCCAGTATGGAGGAATCGCAGATTAGGAGGCGCTTTCGACCCTAATTTGGAATTTGCGTCGCCAGTTTCCCCGCCGGGAGAAAATTACATAACAGTTTCCGGCAGAAGAAGCCGGAAAAAGAGGAAGATCTGGGAGTAGATGAGCGTGCCGTCTTCGCAATATCTTGCTTAATTTCTCTTACGTGAAAAAGCCACGAAAAAACTGAAACTAGAATACGTTCTCCTTTGTCAACGTGCCAGGTGGTTGCCAACCAAAAAATGACTCATCGGACGACTCATTTTGCCAGCACAAGATGAAACATCAGCAACTCTTGACCGAAGAGGGTGTACTTCAGGGTTTCCTTTTGAGGCCTCTTCTGTTTTTCTCCGATAGACTCTACGCAGATGTTACTCTGATACCTCCCCTACGGTACTCCATTTTGTTGTAAACTCTCAGCTTAGCTCTGATTGCCATCCTGGCTTCATCAGAATTGCCTCCTTGTTAACAAAGACAACAACAAGAACAATAACCTTGATTGATTGACCAGAAATACATTCCGTTGGACACCAGAGTCAAAGTGGCCAGGAATTAGTAATCAGCTTGTGATAGAGCTTACCTAAAAGGACAGTGACTTTAGACCTAGCTGACAGGAACCCGAGATCTGTTCACCGGGTAGCAACCGCATTGGAACAAATGCTTCTTTTTGACGGCGACCCACACTGGTGTCCTCGTAGGGTCCTAGTAGTTTCCTCTAAAGATTCCGATCCAGACAACACAACAGCAAATTACAACCAGCTTAAACAGCAAGGATAGAAATCCGCCAATCACTAACAACCACGATACTAAAGCTGCACAGCAAATCGATACCATCGCATTAGAAGGGGTAGGGGTAGGGGTAACAATCGTGTATGGCCGACTAGTCCTTTCAATTAAAAAAGACTTTGCTGCCCTGCTAGGATCAATAGTTAAACAATAGAAAACATCTTCCGTGCTTGCGTGATTAGCGCGCGAAAAGCAAAACTTCTTGACGTCACAACCATATTTACGTACTCTCGTGCAAACGCTGTTATTTTATAACTGACTATAGCAATAACAGGAGCCCAGAACCTGGAGCTAGCAATTTTCATGTACTCGCGTCACATGCACGGCTTTTTCACCGACCAGTTTATTTTTAGAATTATTTTGGCGTGAATTTAGAATATCTTTGAAGTCCAACAAGCAAGTCAGCAAAAGCCACGGACCTGAAAATTCTATTTTTGAACTTTTTATAACGTTCATTTTTACTTTTTCATATCTTTTACTTAGAATGCGTTCCTGGATCGGTCAGCTTCTCTGCATTTTCTCAGCAAAAAAATTCATCTTAGCAAAAAGTGATCCTTGACATGAGCCTAGATGGGAGTTTGCTTGCTCCGCGTTACGAGCTTCTGACTTTAAATAAGGTTAAGCTTAAGGTAAAATCAAGTCTGTCGACTAAAAATATGCATCCTTGAGCGATATGAGCAATCTTGCATAAAAACGTCTTTATTCATAAAGTACAGACATCCATCATTTTGATTTAAAAATTTAAGCTTAATGACAGAGTTCCTCACTGAGCGTGACTTGATTAAAAAAAAACCAAAGTCAGGACATATGTTTGCTCTTAAGGGGGTAAAGCCACTATCAACGATTGAGATAACGGAGATTATAGTAAAATCTAACTAGTGGTCTATTATCAATGCTGCGTTCTGATTGGTTGAGCTACTACTAGGCTATATTTTATAATCCAATAGTAGCGACAAGCGCCGGCTTTTTTAGCGGCAAAAAAAGGATTTAAGTTTAGCTTTAACTAGCTGAACTTGTTTTGTCTCGATATTTTTGACCAACTCGTTGGATTTTACTGAAACAATTATTCCTCTTGCCCTCATGGCCTCTGAGTCAATAGCCCATGAGGCCGAAGGAATAATTGTTAAATATACTTCCGTCTAAAAATTCTCGCGAAAACAAGTTAACTTGAACAAAATATTGTCTTATTCACTAATAATTACGGACAAAAGAGAACAAAAAGGGTGTGTTGTTGTACGTTTAAGAGGAGAAACGTTAACTTTAAAATGCTTCACTTTAGAGTGTTGTCTGAAGCTTAGACTATAGTAATAACTATTTTTCTAAAGCCCTCTTTTTGTCATTATGAACATTCGAGCAGCTCTCATAGCAGGGAGTCTCACTTGAAGCTCGTTACGCTGCATTTAGCGACTAGTGTTCGGTAGTATCGAACTCTTGAACAGTTAAGGGATACGTGTGCAAAATTTCGCGTTAGATGGAATGAAATTTGATTCTAACTTTTTGGAAAGTCACAGTTACCTTAAATGTTTTCTTTTTTTGTCGAGAATAAGTTTTGGAGATTCCAGGATGAAGATCACACTTGAAGATAGCATTTATCCTAATGTTTGGTGATTTTATTGAATTTATAAAATGGCAGTACTGTTTATTGTTTTAGCAACCAAAATTGAAATTTTTTTTTGGGAGTTTTGGAGAAGTAAAATATTTTAATTAGGGGACTTTCAGTTTTTGAGGGGGTTTCGGTCAGCAGAATTCGCTGAGTTATACCGAATGGCTGGAAATGCGCAAAAAGACGCAAAAAGATAGACTTGACTTTCAAAGGAAGTTGTAGAATCAGAAAGGATTTGTTTTTGAAAGAAACATTTTCCTTGTGTCATTAATAAAAGATGAAAATCATAGTAAAATATACATAATAATTATGGATAATGGTAAAAATTCGCTTCGTATAAAAGGAAATTTAAAATGTCAGTAATTTAATTCCGTCGTATTGGTAAATACAAAAAAGCGTTATTATGTTGATGGCAGTTTGTTCTCTGGACGTACAAAATAAATAGCATATTTTCTTGTTCTTTAAGGCATTTTAAGGAAATAAGGCAATCTAACCTTTTACCGGTTTCATGATTATTCCTTTTAAGCCTAAAATTTACATATTTTAAGTGTCTGTCAACCGTTTAAGCAATTTGCCTTCCTTTAAGAAATCCGTGCGCCAAGTTCAAGTTCAAGAACACCCTGACGCCTTGTGAAACATTTAACATTTCAAATCTGGAAAATGCTATGAGCACACAAATTTCTTTGTTTTCCGAAGCTTAGAGATTTGTTTACCCGCAAATCAATCAGTTTTAAATATGTCTGTATGTAGCTTATAGAAGAACAAGCGGCGGTAAAATATCACGGCTGACAACTGCATTGACATAATTACTAATTTTGCTTTCTTTGAATGAAATAATACAACGGTGAAGATTGCTTTCTTTGGATCGTATTCTTTATACAATTTCTTTCTTATTATTTGGAAGTGTCGTTTTAGGAGTCTCGCGTATCTCAGACTAAGGGACGTTCCTTTTTTATGACTTGGGAAAATGGGTGAATATGTTCAAACAATATTCCTAAAATGCTATTGACTTTGTGTGACGTCCTTTAAGCCAAAGTAAAAGAACTACTCTTGCAACATACAACAGAGCGAGAGGAAAATGCTAGTTTAAAAATGCCAGTATGACGTTATGAAGGCGAACTCTTATAATATGTCGTGTATCAATGATTTGGCAAATGGTTTGCTTGTTTGCTTTGATCGTTGATAAGAATAGAATCTTCAATATGAAAATGTTCCGAATGGAATTGTCGACGAGTTTTTATCGCTTTAAACTACAGGTGAAATACCCTGCTGCACTAACCTCATGTTTTATGCAGAAATCTTTCCCTCACCGTCGCAGTATCTCCAGAGTTTTTCAACTGTCCTGATCAATGAATATAATGCCTCTGGTTCCGATATCAATCGATATAACCCTCACACACAATGTTAACTTTTCGCCCAGACGTTAACACCTTAATAAGCAGTCTCAAGGTATGGTAAACCGGCTCTTTGTGTCCTTACGGCGATACATTATCTGTGTCAGAAATATGCAAACAAATTAAAGTAAAGGCAATATGAAAGTCAAGTTAAACCCCAACTGCGAATATTCACTGGGGGTAAATTGTAATAGAAAAATGGCCTAGCTAATATAAACCGATACCAAAAAAATGAATATTCTGGCCCTATAAATGAATATCTTTTTGCAACTAAGGAATTGACGTTCTTTTTTATTTTCGATAACAATTATTTGTAAAAATCCCGGTTGATCGTCATTTAAAGCAATCAAATTATGTGCTTTGCAAGTATGCTACCGATAGCAACGGATAATCAGAGGGACCCAACGACTGTTGTTTTTTTTGTTTTTTTTTTTAATATCTGTTCGGCGAAGAAGCAAATATTGCCTAGAATTTTCTTAGTATTACTTGAGGACGGTTAAAAATTTCTAGATGACCTTTCAATCAATGTCATTTTCCAAGCTTACCTAATAAATTCCCTACGGTTTTCTGAAGTTTAATTTTCGCTTTTACTTCCCAAGTTAAGCTATTTTTCTTTGAAAAAAGGAAACCTAAATAATGTGATGGAGAGAGGAATTAGAAAATGTCTCACTTTCGTAATGGGTCAAATTTCATCTAAATTTTTCGGGAAAATAATACTCGAGCCCTTGCAATTTCGACAAGACTCAAGTTCACCTAGGATGACAGAACAGATAGAAATTTTAAAGCGCCGCTTTAAATGCTTTTCTAGAAATCGAAAATTACTCTGGATAGCCTAAAAAGTGTTTTCAATGTATTTAGGAGGAAACCGTCGTTGGGTGCCCCATGAGGTAATGTCAACTTAAATGCCTCAATTTAAGTTCTTAGTCAATGAAATTATTTATTGAGTGTCATATGTGGAGCCATAAACCGTTTTTTTTTTGTTTTTATTCAGAATGTTTTGACTCCAAATGAAGACAAACTATTTTCCTAATAATAGGCCCTTCTAAACAAGGGCCTTTGAAATATGTAATAGAAATTTTAAAGCGCCGCTTAGAATGCTTTTCTAGATATCGAAAATTACTCTGGATAGCCTAAAAAGTGTTTTCAATGTATTTAGGAGGAAACCGTCGTTGGGTGCCCCATGTGATAATATCAACTTTTAAAAATGCTTCAATTTAAGTTCTTACTCAATGAAATTATTTATTGCGTGTCATATGTGGAGCCATAAACCATTTTTTTTTGTTTTTATTCAGAATGTTTTGACTGCAACACAAGGCAAACTATTTTCCGAATAATAGGCCCTCCTAAACAAGGGCCTTTGAAATATGTAGGCCCCGAGGCTTATTTTCGGACTTTAAGCGGTATACGTGACTACACTCACTTTAGTTTCGTCAGCAAGGCAAAAAGACTTGTTGATCAACATTATGATATTGAAGGTGAATTTCTTGCTAAATATTGTGATTCTTAATGCAATGTACTAATTTGAGGTTTCTTTTAAGATAGACAAATTATTCAAAAAATTAAGTCGATCCAGGATCAACACCTCCAGATGTGCTTTTTTCAATAGCGAACAGATGGAATTTCTGTTAACTTGTTGAGGTCTTGTTGAGATAAGGCTTTTAAAGACTCTCCGTTTTAAGGGTGTTTAAAGATAGCTAAAGCTACACAGAATGGAGAGAAGTTGCAAAAAGGATGTGATGTCACCGGGGATCAAACTCGGGAGCTCACGCGTAATCCATCGAAAGACTCATGGACACCTTATGAAGTTTACGCAACGTGGTATTGTTTATTGTTTCCACACTACACTTAAGAAGAAATTTTTAAGTCTTCTTAAAATTTCTGGGCTCAGCAAGTTTTTAAGGAAAAAAATTCCAGAAGAGCGTGAGTAAGAATTGAACCCGGGGCGTAGATTTTGTAATCCATCTCCTATACCACTACGCCTCTGAGGATTAGCTGGAGAGAAATGGTTTGCGTTGAAGCTATGGAGCCAACTCTAACCGTAAATAACTTAGCGAACCGTTGAAGATTCATCGCTTAACCTTAATCACTATTTACAGGGCTTAACCCTTATCACCATTTTCAGTGCTAAACCCTAAACCAGTGTCACTTAACCCTAATCACAATCACAGGGTTGAAGGGTATAGGGGTAAAGTAACCGGGGCAGCAGTTTGAATTAGTGCTAACCACAGTATGGATCCTGTTGGAGAAGGTTTAACTGTACGGAAGACTGGGAGCTGCTCCTCGGCAGTGTCACAGTGATATTGGTATCCCCGCGTTTTGGGCATCCCCATTTCCAAAACCCTCAGTGATATGGGTATCCCCTGTAACCCTAGCCCTAACCCTAACCCTAACCCAAATCGCTAAGGTAACATGAGAAGGGGATGCCCATATGACAAGGGTTTGGGGAATTAATGGGGATTCCCATATCACTGTAACAACGGTCGTGCGAGCATGCAAATCAAGACAGCAAATGAGAAAAAAAAGGCGAGCCGAGGGGAAACTAACTCCCCCGATTTCCCCTCATAGGGCGCGTTTGCCCGAAAGAATATTTTAAAATCAAAACCTGTTGAATGGTAGCACAATTCCTAGCTCACAAGCCATACAATTTTGCTTCGTTAACAGATAGTCTCATTTTATTATTTTTAAAATTATTGAAAATTTGCTCTTGAATGCAAACCCGGCAAACAAAAAACTGCTTTCCGGGCCCAAAAACTTACCGGGACTTTCGAGAAATGGGCCTCAGGTCCGTACACTCTCCCCAGTTCAGCCAAGTCTCGACTCCACTGACTGAAAAGGTCAGTAATGCCTACGGTCTAACTGTACGGTCAAATTCTTAATGCACATTGGCCTTCGCCTACTCAAGGCAATGTATAGGCATCCAAATTTTGAAGGGGGCACAACACAGTATACTTTCAATCATATAAAACTGGGGAACAAACAAACAAGAGCATATGGAAACTTAGAATGACATTAAATCTAGTCGGATTTGAGTAATTAAGCGACTTTTAAAATATTTGGGCCAGATAAACATTAGTATTTTAATATTGTTTCTATTTTATTTTATATCATTGTTTCAACTTAAGAGCAGCGCCCTTTGAATTGAACGACGAGCAAACAAGGCTGGTACCTGCGATCTATGACGTAACAGTCTCCAATCACTAAACGCCTTATACAGGGTGCCCCTTGCAAGGTTCATTGAGCACTGTTTAATTCAAACTGGTGGCAAGCAAATCTAAATGAAAAAAAAGGGAGATTTTAATTTTCCCTCTGAAGTGTTTTCAAGATAAGAAAGTCTCACTTGTAATTCATGATCGCGGCACTTAAACAGGATTTTAAATACAGGCTTTGGAGCACTCCGGAGCACGGTAAAACGTGGTTCGACAAGCTGATTTTTTTTAAAGGTTAACATGTGCATTTTTTGTCGAGAGCACCGAGAGAATGGCTAGTCAGTGATATGGAATGATATGGACCGTCTTGTTGTGAAATGATGGTCGTTTATCATAAGGATGCCCCTTGATAAAGACTGTATCGACTCGAGGGAATCGTTTCCCAGTCACTGGACGACGGATAGAGGTCTTGTCGAAGCCGAATACATAGTGCTTGCCAAAGCGCCGAAAACGTCGCTGTTAGAGATACTCCAACGAAGTTTTGTTGACTGTTTTGAATTTGTAAGCATGTCATGCCCACAACAGTCGCCGAAGAAGAAAAAGAAAAAAGAAGGCAACAGTGATTCTGAAAACAGTGATGAAGAAGAGATCCCAACAACGTACGAGCTATGGCAGGATTTTTTGCATAGCCTCACGCTTCATGGATTTCGTTTCATATTCGAGGATGGCCCTAAAATTCGCCGTCTCCTATGGTTGGTGATTTTGATACTCGCCATTTTCATGTTGTTGCTACAGAGCAAGAAAAGTATCCAGAAATATTTTGATCGCCCGATCACCACCACTGTGCAAGTTGAATTTTTGGACGAGATTATTTTCCCCGCGGTTTCAATATGCAATTTCAACTTATTTCCTTATTACCTTATTAACGGCACAATAGGAGAAAAGGTAAGTGATTATAAATTGTAAATCCACTTGTATTATTAATAATCTCCAACTGGAATAGCATGATCCAGGGACCCCACACCTAGCCCTTCCCTGACCCAACATTTGACCGACGTCAGAAGCCAGTGTTAACGTTAGGCTAGGGGGAGGGGTAGGTAGTTAGTTTCCCAGAATCGTACATTCGCCGCTTTAGAAACGAGAAGGAACCTGACCCTAGTTAACTCGCTAAGTCTTCTGGGGCTTTCATTAGGAAGAGTGGAAATGTTCAATAGCTGACCGTCGTTTTTAAAGTAACGATCCCATGAATCAGTTGCGGGATGCATTATAGCCCCAGTTTCCTTTTCGGTTCTAAAGTGGTGAATTGATCCGAAGTTTCAAGCATAACGAGACAAGAACCTCCCCACCCCTACCCTAATAAACCCTACAGTAGCCTTTTTCTATTCGGGCTTTGGCCCCTTAGATCTGTAGAAGAATTCCCTGCTTCAAACATTGTCCAAAATACAGTCGAACTTTCATAAAGCGGCCACCCTCCTGAATGAAAACATGTGCACGCTTAACAATTAAAGTGGACGACCGCTTTCAATTAGTTCCATTTGCAGTGATTCACCAACAATTCTGTATTGAAGCAGCTCTAGATCCTGGAGACTGAGCACTAAATAACGGTGATATCTTAAAAGAGACCACTTATTTTATGTCAATTCGACGGTTCTAAAAGAAAGTCTAGAAACCTTTTCTACTGATCGGTAGATTCGAAGTCACTGCCCACTGGTAAGTTCCGTATTGCCGAGGTACATTTGTTATGTTTGTTGAAAAAACAAATTATAATAATGTTTAGATTTATATTTTGCTTACTTTACTTCTCTTATACTATCCTATACTCACAAATTGGATTATTTTGCTCCATTTCGCTATTTATCAGTAATTTGAAGCAATTTTCATAAGGGGTGTCTACTAGACAGGGGGCTTTTATTAGAGAGAAGTGTCTCAAAGAAACGTTTGCGAAGAGGGGACGTTCATTAGATAAAAGGCGATTATTTGAGAGAGCGCGACTATTTGATCATTTATGGTATATATGCATTTACGGCTGGCAAACCATAGCCTGGTACCAGGCTCCGCATTGTGGGAAAAAGCAGAAAAAATCGCGTTGGCGAAAAAAAAATCGGCGAGTGAAGCGAGCCGAGAAGTAGTCTGGGGATGGGAAAGGGTGGCAGGGCTCCTACGCCCTTTCCCTCTCCCTTGGATACCGCTCGACTCGCTTCGCTCGCCGATCTTTTTCCCCCACTGCGGAGCCTAGTCCCAGGCTAGGCAAACTAGTATAAATGAAAAAAGAATTATACCAACTTTTGCTTTTTCGCTACAGGTCATGTCAATTCTAGCTCCTCAAAAGTACATTGACAACAAAGAAGAGGTTCTCTTTGCGCGATCTCCGATTCCGAACTTCCTGAACTACCTTCGTCGTCGTCGCCGGGGAAAAGAATCCACAAAACCTATCGATGATGACGATGTCGATGTTCTTGATGACGACACAGCATTTGGGATCGATGATAGTTTTGACTTTGCGCAGTTTGTGAGAACTCATGGCCATCGTATTGATCACATGATTAAAAAGTGCAGATGGAAATCACAACCTTGCGGACCTGAGAATTTTACTGCGGTTATAACTGAGTTTGGTCTCTGCTACACATTTAATTCAGGTGAATATCAAACCGGGGGGGGGTCCTAAGAGAACTTAAAGTTGTTTTTAAAAGCTCTTTTTCCGAGCCGGATCTCTCACGTTTGAAATAGTAGAGCGTTTTCATTTACGTGGCCAGTAAATATGCCTATCTTTTTCTTGGAACAAAAGAAAGTTTTTATATGAGAGGAGAATGCAATCCCCACAGGACTCTTTCGGTACACCAATATGGCTGCAATGAGGTCATATGAAACAAATCTGTTAAGGTGGCTGAGCACAGTTCTGCGGGCGATCAGCGGTAACTCGCGTGATGGCGCGTGTTTTAAATTAGACAAACAAACATGCCGGCGAAAAAAGCAATGGTAAACAGATGACAATTTCTCAAAATCTACTCATTAAAGTTTTGTGATATTTGGCAGAATTTTTACTTTTATCGTACTTCCAATAATAAGAACTTTAAAATGGAAGTTGAACAGGCGAATTTTGTGACACATTCGATAATTACAGTACAATCATATTATCGATTATCTAAAAACCCGTCTTTTAAAATTTGGTCAAATAAGTTTCAAATGGTAATGATTAATTATAGTTAGCTGTGTGCAAGTTTACTATAGGAAAATCTAATGCGCGTATTTTAAGTAATCTGAGCGTTCATGTTGCCATGGAAACTACGAAAAGTCATATTTTACCTGTCAGTCAAAATTTTTCATCAGCTTGTGAGCTGCGACCTTTCTCTTGCCATGATTTGGCAAATGACATATACTCACAAACTGCCAAAACTGTGTTAGGCCACCTTAACTGGAAGAAAGTAATTGAACAACTCGCCCTGTATAAGCCATATAAAACCCAAGGTATTTAAATGAGCAGTCAGTCATAAGATCCATCGACCTATCAGTGAGACCCACGTCACCACAAATTGCGGTGCAACTTTTGTAGACCAGACGTCCAAAGTTTTTATCCCATCATATGACATCCGAGTTTACGACTCAAATTCAACAAATTATTCAAAATAAATTGCATATTGACTCAAGCTCATCCAAGACTAAGCCTTGAAAAAATTATATCAGGGGATAACATTTTAATCGATATCTCACCGGCCGTGAGAATTCTGAAAAATAAGCTGGTACTGTATTACTATTATGCCAAGAATTCACACAATTTGATATCAGAGACCTCAGGGATCTCGAGCCACCTAGCATTTTGTTTGGTGAATTTAAGTAAGCAATTTTGCGCATTTTTTTCATACACCATGATGTGCACCGGGCCCACAGGTATGAAAGGACACCCGCTACTCAGAGTTCAACGAGCAGGAGTAGATTATGCGCTCAGATTATCTCTCAGCGTACAACAAGATCAGTATTACGGCTCACTAAGAGACTCGTCTGGCTTCAAGGTTATGGTGCATGATCAGGAAGAACCGCCCCTGATCAATGAACTTGGTTTTGCAATTCAGCCAGGGACGCACACATTCTGCGGGCTTAGGAAGGAAGTGGTATGTACATGAATAGTCAGCTAAACAGCGGTTATTCACAATAGAAAATCGCAAAACAAAAGTCTAGCCGGGGGGGTTGCATTAGAAATGCTAAGTTAGCTATTGGTGTTTTGTTGTTGTTGTTGTTGCTGTTGTTTCTTATTTCTAAAGTGATCATAGATAAGTAAAGAAGCAAGCCGTGATGATTATTGAATAGACTGCTGAAGCTGGACCTTGAAATGTAGCCCTAGTAACCTCAAAGTGTGGATGGACGCCTGATAGCCCCTGATAGATTCTTGGCAACGGATCTCAGACGGTGGACTGGACCTCTGGGAGATATTAGGGAACAGATTTTTAATAGGCAAACTTTTCCTTTTAAACTTTTCGAGATAACGCCGATTTCTATATTCTCGATGGGCTACCGTTCTTCAGGGCAAAAATTATTTTTCAATTAAACTATTATCCGATTAATCCCAATAAAGAGGAACCTTCCTCTATAATACGGACACCTGTATTGTAGACTACGAGCAGTCTCTCTTTTTTCTTGGTCCGTCGAGCAAAACGCCCAAGACACGCAAATGACCACGCGCGTGACTGAAGGCGCGAGACGGGAGAGGCACGATAAAAGAACTACGCGGGCAGCCCTCGTTTCTTGCGTCTCGCGGCTTCGCCGCTCAACGCTCGCACGCGCGTGCTCGCCCCTTACTAAATCTGAAGAAAAAGAGAGACTGCTAGCAGTCTACCTGTATTGCGGACACTTCTCTTCGTCCCTTTGGTGCTTATGTTAAGAAAGTATAATTTGACCAAACATAATAGCCGCCATTGTTAATTGCTTGTTTGTATGTTTATCTCATTGGTTTGTTTGTTTTTGTTCAGATGCATAACCTTCCATCGCCATTCAAGACTGCATGCGAAGATAAACACCTCGCTGGTTTTAAAAAGTACACCAAGTCTGCCTGCCTTCTAAAATGCCGGGCAGATTACGTTATCAGTATGTGTAAATGTAGATCTTACGACTTAGAGGGTGAGTCACTTTGGTCTATTCAGATCTTGAAAATGTAGCTTGATGCTTATTTTGGCAAAAAAAGATTAGAGCGGTTTTCATTTGAGTGTCGAAAAGTAATTGGTTTTGCACTTTCTACACGATGCGATTGGCTTAAAAGATTCGCACCACCTTTTCATCCAATCAGAAGTAAAACCAAAGCCAATTGTGACGCGCTCGCATGCATTTTCCCGCGCTTTACGTCAGCCACATGTAATTACTTCGAGTTTTGATTGGTTCAATGTCTTGTCTGTGTCCTATATGATTGGCCAGAGTAATTACTGTGGTTTTGGTTTTACGACACTCAAACGAAAACTACTCTATAAGTAAAGCTGTTTGACGTCTCGATGTATCCAAAGAATGAAAAAAGGTCAACTGTCAAAGTCGGTTAAAAGATTTGAGATTTGAACTCATTAGATCACGGGCATTCATGTGTGTTTGATTCTATAAAAACGTGCTAATTAATAGAACAGCTCAGTAGAGTCTATATACACGTTTAGCGATAGTTTAGAGCTCCTGTGTAAACAACGTTTAATAAAAGAAGGCAATCATTTTGATTCTAGCTTAGTATTCTAAGAAGTTACAAGACTCAAGATAATCCTGGGTGTATGGCAAACGACATAAAATGCTTTTCCCCATAACGACAAGCTTCTCTTTTCCTTTTTTGCCGTACGGTGAAATCAGGCCTTGTGCCCATAGAAGCAACCGCGTTCCCAGGGTATAAGTCACCTGACCGCATGCATGCATAGCAGTTCAGCTAGCCATACAAAACATCCTTTTAACCCTGTACAGTTTGTTGTGTCCATAATTTATGTACAATACAGACAAGTGACAGAAGCACCAAGCAAGAAAAAACGTAGCTACGTACCCTGTCGACAAATTTCAGCTGCAAAAACATATCTTTTTTCGTGTTTCTTATGCATATTACCAGCCAGGGGCGGTGCACATGTTGAACAACTTGTCTATTTAAAGGATTACAAGATCGTTTATTTTCCCATTTACCCATCCCGAAATCATTTTGCTTCCGGCCAATAATAAATAATCCGTGGTGTTCATAAGTTCTGTCATAGACTAGTCTTATCATTTTCTCGGAGACCAAGGACCTCCCCCTGTATCAGTCAATCCGGTGGGGAGAATAGAGCGAAGAACATTTACTAGCCTTTGTTTCAAATGTTTCGTCACGCCATAAAATTGATCAACTGTCACTCCATGGATCTCCAAGAATACACTACCTTAATTACCAGAAGGGGTTAGCAACGGAAGCAATTAATGGTGTGGCCTGGGTGTTTTATAGGGAAATTTTGATTTCATTGTGTTAGTGTTTATATCAAAAGGTTTCTCCTCTCCCATACACATCATAGGTGAAGCTCCTCCGTGTCTCCCTCAAGAAGTCAAAAATTGTGTTTGGCCTGCCATGGGTAAGTACTGGATTGTGAAGTTTCACTTCTGTGAGTATAACCGTACACTTACGCAGTTCTAATATAATATGAAACTTGAAAATTACAATAAAAACGATAGCTTGGAAAATACACATTTACCGCCAAAGGAATCTGAATCCATGAATACCGCCAATTCTTAGAACGGGGAAAATGAAAACACATCAAAATAAAACGGAATTGTACCGGATTAATAAAATAACTAGATAAATAAATGCCTGGAATAAATGTAGTAAACAAGCAGGATATCCCCGTTTAGACTCAGAATTTGAATGCATTCCCGGGACAGAAAGATAACTTTGTCCTCTCTCTTCGACCAATCTTTAGAAATATTTCGTAACGAAAGCAACAATTGCGAGTGTCCAGTGCCGTGTGAGATAACCAAATACCAGGTTCAGCTAAGCTATGCCCAGACTCCAGCCAAACATTTCTCGGAGGTTTTAGCGCGGAGAAAGCACGTTAGGAAAGACGTCATGAGGCATTATCTCAGGTGAGGCTAACTCTTGAAAGAAGGATTTGGTTTTTTTTGCTTTCCATCACTTGGACTGAGCACTTGAAAGAGTTGTGCGACTGTGATGTAATTTAGAAGGCAAGTGGACGCAGTATACAAATTTCAAGGAAGGACAAACTCTGAAGAAGAGAAAAATGGATTGCGCCCAGCGCTTTTGAATACTTTTTAACTTTCAAAGTATTGTTTAGCTCTTTCAATTTATCTCTATTGTTTGTGACTCCAATGAATTCGTGTTTGAGAGACATTTGTTTGCCCATTTATTTTGCAATTTACAAGCTAATATTTTTCTTGCGCTAATGTTGATCGAGTTGCATTGTGAAGAAGGGCGAGTAACAACGGGAAGAGATTATTACAAACAACAAAATGAAAAAATGTGGATAACCGCGATCCTCTCAAATTGCTAAAACCGCCCCGCCTTATTCGAACCCAGGGATTGCCAACATTTATACAAGAGATGATACATAATTTCGCGATAATCGAATTAAAATAATTTTATTAATAAGGATCCTTTGAGCTTTTAAGAAATGAAGAGTGAGAGAAATTAGAAGGAAAGAGCTTGAATTGAGCCAAATAGCACCATTATCTTCAACTGATAGTTCGAGATACTCATTTTCCTCTTCCGCCAAAGATATGCCTCATCTAGTTTTTTTTTTTTTTAATTTGCTGACAGTAAACACGGCTCTTTATTCGTCCTCGGTCTAATTGAGTATCTTAACTATTTGAAATTTTCTTATCATCATTAATTGTGTTAAGAATCTACAAATCTAATTTGCGATCAGGCAGAATGTTAGCAGAGAATCTTATGAGAACGGCGAGACAAATGAAAGAGTCTGGCTGTTCAAGTAACTTGAACACTGTCAGAAGTGAAGGGGCGTTTCCCTCTACTTTCACCTTCTCATAGAGCACCCTCCAATTTATTCAGTATATTCAATTAGTTTTAAAAGGCCTTTTTCAACAAGTCAATTACGTAGTACAAAACTGCCATATTGGAGAGCAAGTTAGACATTGGAACAAGACAAAAAAAACTTACACCATAGAAGCGCTTATTTTGCCGATTGTTTGTTTTCTCCCAGAATTGTTTTCTTGCTCTCCAGCAAGGCAGTTTTGTACCACGTGAATGACAAGGTGTAAAGACCGTCTATTTGTCAAATGAAATTTTTAAAGACTAGTTAACTGTGTAGTTGTATAATCATTCATCAGGGACAACTTTCTTGAGCTTGATGTGTACTTCGAGGAGATGCAAGTTACGTTGATCACCCAGCGACAAGCATATGACCAGGAAAGCTTGTTTGGTAAGTAACATAAACACTGAAATGATTGCTGCATTATTCTAGTTGAAGACGCATTGCCTGGTTATTGAATGTTTCAATTTGCAGTGATTTACAACGTTTCCATAACCGGAGAGAAAACGAAAAATTGTCTGAGAATGAAAATGTCCAGCTAGAATTTTCTTCAAAGAAATTCGACGCCAGGAATTTGTTGAATTCAAATGCCAGTGTTCCTGAAAACGGTTGTTGTTTCAGTAACTCATATTTTGATAACTAATTAATAAATAAAACTTTATTTAGTATCCAGCAGAATGAATCAGCTATACAGTATTAAGTATTGCTAAAAAGATATAAATGTGCAAACAATTATATTACGTCGAAATACTATATTTTCCCGCCGGTACCTATTTTTTTGTTTGTCCATAATAATGGGGTGTTCAGCTCACATAGCTGATTATGTTATTAAACTCTTTCAGTCAGTTTCATTCTTTTTTAATCACATTTGATGATGGTTAAGGCCTCTTGAGAAACTCGTGACCCTCGCATGTCAAACGAATTAGTGACCTTATAAAGAATCTCGTTAAATCGTATGTAAATTGAGCTTCTTTGATCCTCATCTTTCGTCGTAAAAGTTTTGGGGAAGTTTGACAAGTGTGGCACATCTGACTTCTAAATTTGCATCAGGAAGGTACTCCCTATAATGGTCTATAGGGAAGGCTCCGCCCTAAATCAGGCTCCAGGTATATGAAAGGATAAGGGTTTCACTGGATGACGTTTATGAAAGGGTGAGAAATTTTATCATTTTGGTCTGTAAAAAGGCCCAAAAGGGCTAACAGGGACATTTTATGGCTGTAAAAAAGTCCAAAAAGCTTTCTGGTTTTGTCGTTTTTTCATATTTTTAAAGACAGTGTGTATTAACAGCAGTTTTAAGGGATACGAAGTCCTGAACTAGGCATGTAAAAAGGTACCAATTGTCAATAGAAGGTGTACGAAAGGGGTAACCTTATCAGCTTAAAATGGTATACTTTAAAAAGGTAAAAGGTTGACTCTCGCGGCGGAGCCTTCCGTATAAAGCTTTGTTGAGTAGCTCCCACGGGGACAAAATATTTTTTTTTAATCTTGGTAGGTGACATTGGAGGTCAAGTTGGATTATTTCTTGGAGCTAGCATCCTCACAGTGCTAGAGTTCTGTGACTTATTCGCAAGAATAATCGTCAATAAGATAAAACAAAGGAAACGTCGGCGAACTAGAACTGTCTAACCTACAAGGCCTTTCGACTCACGACAGCGCCCGAGAGAGATTTTCGCCGGGGATCTTCGGGTCTTATCTTTCCAATGGAATTGATTCCGACAACATTCTGAAAGGGCGTCATGGCAACCTCACTATTCCACACCGAGGAATGGCGGAGATTGTCACCGTTAAGCTAAAGACCTCGAATAAGGCAATTTCTTTCAGTTGAGTAGATCCAGCAGAGTAAGGAGGACAATATAAAAAAGAATAAGCGGGCTTGTAATGTAATGCAGGCCACAAAGCGGTGACGTTTTTAATATAAGAAAGGAACAGTTTTTTTAATGGCTGTTGTGAACATTAAGGTGTAAAATGTAGAATACATGGCTTGTATGTTTCATTCAAGGTTATAGTTTGTTAATTGAAAATAGGACGTGTACAGACGGAAGATTGTTTTAAAACTGAGGCGGTAATGCTGTATAAATATTAGTATCATAGATTATAATAATGCAATACTTTTTTATATGCTCGTACCTGTATAAAACTAGAAAAAGCAATTCTTTCATTAGTGAATGAGAAATTATATTCAACATAACTAAGGAATAATAAGAAAAGTAATCTATTCCACAACACTCTCATTCATGCTCAGTTTAAATAAGATATGGACATAATATTGCTCAGCGGTCTAAGCCAGGCTGGAAGAGCTTGGCTTTGGGTAGCAGTGTTGAAAGACCCAAGCGAATTTCGTGTAGACAAATGGGGTGGGCGGGTGGGCCGATCCCTTCTTGACATCTCGCTGGCTGAAAACTAAGCTAGAAAGGAGTGTTTTGCTCCAATCCTGTATTCATAGTCCTGCTATACCCTCGTGCACCTACCTGCGTGCATTCAATCCTCGGAAGTATTTTATTTTTCGCGTTTTACTTTCTCATATAGTTACGAGTGTTATGAATAGTGCCATATTTTAAATCATTTAACGTCGAGGTCCTTTCGCACAATAGGGTCATTTATACGAGGAAAAATAAGACGCGAACTGTACCATTTTTACAAGCATTTCTTGTCTAAGACGAAAACAGCTAGTATAAATGGTTCACGTCTTATTTCTGTTCTTGACTCGTTTTCATGTGAATGTTGCCCGTAGTAACGGCAATCCAACATGTCGCCCGTTTCAAAGTTACGGCGTCATGTTGCGATTTACCGCAGAGGCAATATTTTGAAGACCTTTTTAATGAAATTGGGGAATCTTCTCTTATGACAAAAACCCTCATTTGCCGCAGAATTATATAAAAAACAATGCTCTCTTGGAAAATTTCAGAAGGAGCCAGAGAAAAACGGGAAGAAGGAGATCGACTGAGTGGTTTGAGCGTGACTTCAAAGAGATGCCGGAGGCGGAATTTGTTGCTTACTTCAAGCTCATTATACTTGAGCGAAAAAACAAATAAAGCTTAAAAGTCTTAGAATGGATGGCAACCCAAGGAAACGAAAACACGTTGCGATTTGTAAACAGCTTTTCCCTGCCAGTCCGCCGTGGGCAAGCGAAAATTTTCCCGCCAAAAATTAACGCATGCGTACTATGCGTTCGCGTCTTACGCAAGACGCAAAGGTCATTTATACGACGTTTTTCTCGTCTTAGCTAAGACGCGTCTTATCTAAAAACAGGTGTTAAGGGCTGTTCTAAAATAAGACGCGTCTTAGCTAAGTCGCGTCTTATTTTAGACGAAATGTGCCATTTATACGGAAAGTTCACGTCTTATTTAAGACGCGTCTTATTTTTCCTCATATAAATGGCCCTAATAAGACAATTAGATTGGCACAGCGTCGGCTCAGCCAATGAAAGGACTTTCCCCTTCAAAGTGAGATTATCTTCCGTTTCACCTCCTTCATTTGCGCTCTTGATCCAGTCTCCACGCGTGTAAAAGTATCATGATTAGCAATTTATTGAATTTGGCTTTCGTATGGCAGATCTGTAGTCTGAAATGTCATCTGTCTCTTTGCCTCACCCCAAACGAGCGGCGAGGCGTCTTGCCACCCATATTAATTTCTTTTTTGTAAAACGTGTGGAATTTTCCGCTATTTTCTCCAGTTGAACCTTAAGCTCTACCAAAACACCTGAGCTAAGGCAACCTCGTCCCAGGGCCGTTCGGTTTGCTGTTGATATATTGTAACATTGTCGTCGTTGGTTCTGGATTTCGCAAACGTCTTCCAAAGTTGGTCAAGGCTACCAAGTTATAAATAATTAAAGGATTAATATTTTGAATGAATAACCCGAGGTCAGTGAACCAATGAAGAAGCAAGATCTACATCATCCGAATTACAAGATAACCTTGCGCAACAGGTTGGGCTGCAGAAAAAATGCGCATATAACGTGACGTGGTGGGCGTGTGCTAATTGGCCCTTGCTCAACTGGGCCCTGAGTAGATTTGAATAAGAAAGAGAGGTGAGAATATAGAGAATCGCCCCTTCTGCTTTAACCACTTTTTACTCTATTGGCCTCTCTTAGAAGGCCCAAGGGGAGGGGGATACTCCCCACAATGGCCTGTAGCGGGAGGCTCCGCCTGAAAGTGGTATCATTCTCAGGCTTCCGCAATATGAAAGGGCAAAGACAGTGCATTTACAGCAGTTAAAAGGTATGCAAAGTTCTAAGCTAGGTTTGTGAAAGCGGTACCATTTGTCAATGGAAGCCGGTATACGAACGGGACACCCTTCCTATCAATAATGGCACGTAAAAGGATAAAGAGACCAGCTCCCAGCGGTTTATCCAACTTCATTCCTTTCTTGGATAGGACAAAACGACATCAAAGTACTGCTATTAATAGCTATTAGTAATGCCATTGAAACGAAAAGACAGGCCAGAATCGTGCTCTCTCGATTCTTCTTCACCTAGAGAGAAGAAACCGCGACGAAACACTGGTGAAAGGGTGTTGGGGAACGAGGCATTTCGCGCAAAGCGAGAGACGAGGGCTTTCTTTTTTCCCCCTACCTTTGACTCACACTTTTTGGGAAATGTCTCGTTTTTTGCTCATAAAGCACCTGTCATGCAGGCTAATTGACCTCCATAGTTACAATGATCTACAATGGACTACAATGACCTACAATGAGCTACTAGGACCGAACGTGTAATCCCTGTAATGAGCTAAAATGAAGATTTTAGAAAATTGTAGATCATTGTAGGTCATTCCTTGTTTTAGTAACTACGGTTTAAGGTGGCCCGATCCCGCCTTTCAGTGACATCTACTTCGCCGAGCGAGCATAGTCACCTTCACTGAGTTTACACATATAACGCGCAAAGGAGAGGCTGATGCAACATAACAAAGGTGAAAGTCCAAAAATAGGCCCCTTTCATATACACCCCACCCAAATTCGAAACCCAAAAAACGCTAATCCAATATAAAAACCTCATCCGTACACAAGCCTCAAAAGATATTTTCACACAATCAGCGACTGCCATGGTTTTGAATGTTCATTTATTGGTAGAATCAAATATAGTGCTAAGTTTTAATGAGCCACAAACTTGCAAAAAAAAATTGTAAAACTTGCTTTTTCAGCCCAATTTGTTCATGGTGAGACATCTGCATCTACTTAGGAAACTGGGCCGAGGCAACTTTTGCAGAGACTTCTGGGACTGTTAAAAGGGACAGGGAAACAAATTACCAATGGCTGCTGTCCAGCGCATCACCATTAACGATCCCTGAAACAACTGCGGGACACTTTTCGGTTCCCATTCCCTTCCCGTTTCTGAAATTTTGTCATATTAACTGGGAAGAGAACAGAACTGCCTTTTGCAAATAGCCACAGTACACAATATTTGTTGTTTGTGTTATTTATTTTTATGACATTGAGAGGATTAAAATGAAAATTTAACTGCAAAGCTCAGTCTCTGCATCCAGACTGAAATAAAGATTCACAATAACAATATCACAATAGGTTTCTGCCCTTGGATAGTGAACCCAAAACTGAACTATTTCAGTATAAACCAGTCCACTTGCAGAGTTGGCAAACGTCCAAATTGGGGGGGAAAATTCCAAACTTCATGCTGTAAATTTCTGAAAACCGGAGAGTACATTGTGAAAGTTCTGGCAAAGACGTTTCATTTGAATTGTTAAACCATAAGATTTCGCGTTCATAGATTACTATGGCAGGGAGTGAAAGAGCTAACACATTGTTTTTTTAAAAAGACCCATTGTTTGGCATTGACTGGATGACCCCTAAAACCGCTACCTCCACCCAAAGAAAAACTGCCAAGAAGGCAAGCAAAACAGTAGGACTTTGAAAGAGAAAAAAAATGGTTACAGTCAAAGCACTTCAAAAAATGTAAGCAAACCTTATGCAAGTGCAGCTTAAATGCAAGGTCCTTACACAGTCATGAATAAAAATATTGAAGTAGGTATTCATTACTGCCGCTACCCAAGTGGCTGTTTACATTACTAAAAAATTTTCCCTCTTTAGGTGCATAAATATTAAGAACTGTCTTCTATATTCATATGCTTTTCATAGTGTTGAAGAAGGAGAGCCTCACTACTGATTTCTTCTTGACAAATCCAACAGCTGTGGTTTCCTTTACAAATTTGTAAGTTTTCCACTTTGCTTGAGCATATGCCAGACTCGCATGGCTTCTCTCCTTTGTGAATTCTTGCATGTTTCCTGAGGCCTCCTGATTGACTAAAACACTTGCCACACTGTTTACATTCAAAAGGCTTTCTTCCATTGTGGACCCTTTCATGTGACCTTAGGTGTCCTTTGCGGCTAAAACATTTGCCACAATGTTTACACTCAAAAGGCTTCTCTCCAGAGTGGACCATGGCATGTTTTCTGAGATCAGTTCTTTGCCTAAAACATTTACCACATTTTTTACACTGGTAAGACTTCTTTCCAGTGTGGACTCTTTCATGATTCTTTAAGCACTTTGCTATCCTGAAACATTTGCCTCACTGTTCACATTCATAAGGCTTTTCTCCAGTATGGATTCTTTCATGACACCTTAAGGTTTGTGCATGGCTAAAACACTTACAACACTCTTTACATTCAAAAGGCTTTTC